TTTTTTTGTCTTGAATGATATTAAGGGTGGTTGTGTTTCAATTGTTCCTTGTGAAAGAAGTTTTATTTTAATTGTAATGAATACTACCCACACTTCTTGCTTGTCTGTAGCAATGGTGTTGTGCCTTGGATTATATCATCAGTATATCATAAGACTCACTGGTCTAACAACCACGACGTTTCTATCAGTATGGCTTTGCTTCCACCGAAATGCTGAGGAAGTTGACTGATGTGTGGTACAAACCTAAATGATCCTCATGAATGGCTTGTCCTTCTGGATTATTAGGGTTGATTATTATTATATATAATTATTATGACAGTCTAACAACCACGATGTTCCTATCGGTATGGCTTTGCTTCCACCGGAACGTTGAGGCTGTTTAACTGGCACATCTATACCCAGTGTAGCTTAAGAAGCAGCTGTGTTATAATATATTACCACCAGTGTAGCCTAAGAAGCAACTGTGTTATGGTTTATATATATGCACTTGCAATCATGAGATCAAATGAATAACTCAAGTATTCCTCATGAATGGCTTGTCCTTCTGGTTTGCTTGGGTTAATCAGTTGACATAGATATAACCGGTGTAGCTTAAGAAGCAGCTGTGTTATAATATATTACCACCAGTGTAGCCTAAGAAGCAACTATGTTATGGTTTATATATATGCACTCGCAATCATAAGATCAAATGAATAACTCAAGTATCCCTCATGAATGACTTGTCCTTTTGGTTTGCTTGGGTTAATCAGTTGACATAGATATAACCAATGTAACTTAAGAAGCAGTTGTGTTATAATATATTACCACCAGCGTAGCCTAAGAAGCAATTGTGTTATGGTTTATTTACATCAGACCTGTCGGTTGACTTTGCAGTAACATGGGAGTTAATTGTTGTGAGGTAGCATTTCCAGTATCTAACCAATATAATGCATATGGGACCCTTAAACTGAAGGGTATCTTTTATATTCTTGTTGCTAACGCATTTACTTACGCACTTTATTATTTCTGTCATTAATCTGTTTTATTTACGCATTTTATTATCTCTGCACTTTATTTCCACATTGCTTTTATTTAAATAAACTAGTTATCAAACTAAGCTCACACCACAAGCTATAAAACAATATTCTGCTTCAAACAACACTTTTAATTTTTTTATTTATTTTATTTTATAGTCTAAATTACTAAACTCTTTGTGGGATCGATACTTGGACTTAAAACCGAGAAAACTACAATTTGACCACTTATACTTGGGTGTACAATATAATATAATTCAGACCACTAAAAAGTGTGAATCACACAAGAAGTTCTTCCTTTAGTTGGTGTTTACAAACAAAATAACAAGTAAAAAATAAGCAAAGAAAATATATGACTTCATGTTTGTAAATATACTCCCTCTGAATATGTCAACAAACTCCCCCTTACTTTATTGCCAGGCAACTAATCCTAGCTAGTTAATCAAATTTTACCCTAATTTACTCCAAGACTTCTCTTCCATTTTTGTCGCAAAGTGCCAAATCACAATAGTAACATGCAAGTAGAGAATCATGGTATAAAAGAGATAAACATGTAAAGCATCTAACATGGATAGGTAAAATGGAATAATGCAAATGATAAACAACGCATATAACTACAAGTCTAAATGAATATAGCCATAAAGCAATGAGACTCAAAGTAGGAAACTAAAGAAATGAAAATAAAAAAAAGGAAAATCAAAAGAAAATAAAATAAAGAGTACTTTAATACAAGACCATGAAGGAATAAAATCTCTCAAAATCAAGTCATCACTATCATCAGATAATGAATCGCCCTCAACTTGCTTTCCCTTCAGCAACCTCCTAAGTTTCCTCTCTCTCTCCATTCAATAGATCAAAAAGCTGACTTATGGGAAGACTCAAGGCTTATTATCATCCATCCATAGCATCTAACCTCTTAGATGTGTGGCCATGATGCTCCTCCATGGGTTGTTTTGCCCTAGTAAGCATATCAACCATTGATGCTATATGGGCAGCTAGAATGTTCGAACCAGACCGAGGTGGTCGTGGTGATACACTTGATGTGCTAGCCTGAGGGTGAACTGGTGGTGGTGCACAAGGTCTAATATCAACAAATAGATCCTACATCTCATCATCTCTCTCCTCTTCTACCACGACATACTATGCATAAACACTAACAAAAAACATGCTTTTAATATACAATCCAAACACCACCATAATTTCCATCATAATGAGAGGTCTAAGAATGTTTTGCCGCACGCCATTTGTTCCCAAATCTATTTTTCATCACGATAATGGCGTGGAACATATTTCATTGCCACTAGTGCACAAATGAACATTTTTTAAACCCTTCAAACAAAATATTCCTTTATTTTTCCTATCAAACTTAAAGAAAGTTTATTTAATAACTCGAGATCTGAGAATAATTTTCACATGCCATTTATTCCCACAAACTTTATTTCATCACGAGTGTTGTGGGAAAATTATGTCAATCACCATAATATGTCTAGGTCATGATAATAGTGGAAGATTGACAGTAATCATATATCTTAGACGATTGAGATAAAGCCTAATTTCATTAGGATAACAAATGTTATCCACCTAAGTTGATAAGAGAGACGAAAGTCAACTCTTAGTAGGAATCAAACTCCCTAACCTTAAACGATGGAGGGAAATCCAACTCAGCTCGTGAGCTTAGGTCCACTAGCTCTGCCAACAGCCCATCCAACTCAGCCAACAGCTCAGGTAGCTTGGCCAACAGTTCCACTAGCTTAGCTAACAGCTCCAGCAGCTTAGTCCAGCCTTACTCGTGGATAAAGACAAATCTAATAGATAAGGTCAAATCAAGAGGCAGAAAATCACTTTAACTCTAACTTTTTCAGGTGATAAATAATCCCAAAACTCTATAAAAGGTGGCACGAGGCTGGCTAAAGAGGTACATTGAATTCACTTTTTCAATTACTAGCTTTTCTTTAAATCTTTTCTAACTTAAGCATCAAAGGGTCGACTACTGGAGATCCTCTGATGTCTTCAACTTCCTTTTTAGGTGATTGAGGTCCATCATTCTGACGTTGTGGGAGCCCCCCTAAAAATTACACCGATAGTTTGGTACCGTGAGAAATGACAATAAATCTCGTGTTCCCATCAACACAATGGCTCCCACACTTCAATCTAAGACTATCGATCAAACAAACGATATTTCCAAAAACTCTCATGATCCAGCTTTTGTAGTGAATAACGTACAACGATGCCATGAAGCTGACGAGTCAAAGCACCAAGTTGTATTTCTTCAACTACAAAATCTTACTACCCAGGTTCAATAACTCACAAAATTTGTTGAGATGTTCCATCAAGGGAAACAACAATAATTGATTCCTCCATCAGCAAATCAATCGCCTCTCCCACCTTGGGAGAATCAATATAGTGGGGGACAGGGCCATAATCAAATAGGTCCTCACCTCCCAATAGATATTTTCAACGATGATCACACCTACTCCTATAATGATTCTACAGCTCAGTGTGATCATCATGAGGATATTGATCTCCATGGACGACCAACTAGATACTCAACATCAAGCAATCAAAGGGGAATGAGGGCCAGAGGAGGATACCAACGTAATGCTCAAACTCAATGAACCTCCTTCGATCGAAGAAATCATGATGAAAGAGCTTCCCAGGAAGTTTGTCCCCTCAAAGTTCAGACAATACGATGGTAGCTCAAATCCCCATATCACCTTTACTATTACACCATACCATGGCACTCCAAGGAGGAGGTGACGCGCCAATGTGTAAAGCATTTGCAACCAGCCCCAAAGGAATAACACTGACTTACCTCCACAATCCGCCATCACAGTCAATTAGCTCATTCTCTCAACTTGAAAAGTTCTATTGGTTACCCGGGCCTGAAAAATACCACAAACAAGGTATAAATAAAGAGGGTATCTCTATTTCACTTTGAAAATAAAATATAAGAATTTATACAAACAATTCTCACTGAATCTCTCTCTGTGTTTCTTCCTCACAGATCTTGAACATATAACTGGCCTTCACTAAGCTTCCTATTTATAGGAAAGGAACACATTAAAACTCCGGCAAGCTTTGTCAAAGCTTCAACTGTCCAACTGTCTAGCCATTAAATAGGGTGGCTACTAGAGTGGGCTACTAGGTAGCAGAGTCAGCTATTGGGTAGCATTCTGATGGAGCTAGAACCTTCAAATCTCCTCTTCCAGAACCATCAGAAAAGAATGTAATTAGACATTCATTCCGGCTATGTCTCTACACAACTCAAGCTTATCCTGAGTAACGACCTTTGTCAACATGTCTGCTGGATTCTCCTTTGTATGGATCTTCACTAGTTTCAATAACTATTGCTCCATCACTTCATGTATCTAATGATAGTGAATACGAATATACTTTGTCCAGGAATGGTACATTGAGTTGTTGCTCAAGTCCAAAGCACTTTGACTATCACAATGCACATTGTATTCCTTCTGCTTAATATCTAGTTCTTGGAAAAATTGCTTTAACCACAACATTTCCTTACTTGCTTCCGTTGCTGTAATATACTCTCCCCTGTCGTGGATAAAGCTATGCACTTTTGTAACCTTGACTGCCATGACACAGCTCTCCTTGCCAAAGTGTAAAGAAATCCTGATGTAGATTTTCTACCTTCAAGATCTCTTACCATATCTGAATCTATATAGCCTTCCAAAACTGGTTTAACTCCCTCGTAACACAAGCATATCTTCGATATGCCTTTAAGGTATCTGAGAATCTACTTGACCACCTCCTAGTGTTCTTTCCCTGGATTGGAAAGAAATCTACTCACCATGCCCACTACATGGGCAATATCTGACCTTGTACACATCATTGCATACATTAGACTCCCAGCTGCTGATGAGTAAGGAATCATTGCCATATCTTCTATCCCTTTCTTTGATGAGGGACAAGAATTCTTGCTCGGCTTGAAATGATTAGCCAGTGGGATGTTGACTAGCTTGGCGGTATCCATGCTGAACCTCTGGATCACCCGTTTAACCTATTTCTCCTGTGATAGCCACAATTTCTTGGTTTTCCTATCACAAATAATCTGCATGCCTAATATCTGCTGAGTTGGGCCTAAGTCCTTCATGTCAAAGGACTTGGACAGTTCCTTCTTCAGCTGGCTAATCATTATTGCATCCTTTCTGACGATTAACATGTCGCCAACATAAAGTAGGAGTGCAACAAAATTGCCATCTGAGAATCCCTGAATGTAAACACACTGATCTGTAGCAGTCCTCTTGTAGTCTTGACCCACCATGAATGAGTCAAATTTCTTATACCACTGTCTGGTCGCTTGCTTGAGGCCGTACAAACTCTTCTTCAACTTGCAGACCAGATTTTCCTTTCTTGGAACCTTGAAACCTTCTGGTTGTTCCATATAGATTTCTTCATAAATAAAGAAATGCAACTTTCATGTCCATTTGTTCAAGTTCCAAGTTTAAACTGGCTACTAATCCGAGAATGACTCGAATTGAGGTTATCTTAACAACTGGTGAGAAAATCTCATCAAAGTCAATTTCTTTTTTCTATTGAAATCCTTTAACAACTAATCGAGCCTTATACTTCACCAATTTCTCACTGTCGTCTTTTTTTAGCTTGAACACCCATTTATTCTTTAGTGCTTTCTTGCCTTTTGGAAGTTTCACAAGCTTAAAGGTTTGATTTTTCTACACGGAATCCATCTCATCCTGCATGGCTTGTATCCACTTGTCATTATTCGTATGAGCTTGTGCCTCTTGGTAAATCTTCGGTTCCCCTTCATCAATAAGTAGAATATAGTCTGACTCTAGATATCTACTCGACAAAATGCGTCCTCTTTCGAATCTTCGTGATTAAGGCTCATCAGCTATAGGAGGTACACCATCCTCTGGTTGTTGTGATGGTCCTACAACATTTAGTGGAGGGAGTTGTTACTCCCCCTACTCAACACCTTCATCATCATCTCATTTTGTTTTTGTAGTTTCATCCTGCACTTCGTCATTATCTATGGCAAACTGTAATGGTGTAAGGTCTGGAACAATGTCTTGTGCACTAGAACTAGAACTATTGGACTTTGTGGGATTTTCAAAGTCCTCATACGTTTGGTTTTCTTGGAACACCACGTCTCTGCTCCTGATGATCCTTTTGGACTTTGGGTCCCACAATCTGTATCCAAATTCTTCATCTCTGTAGCCTATAAAGATGCACGGCGTGGTCTTGACATTAAGTTTCTGCCTTTGCTCCTTGGATACATGTGCAAATGTTTTGCACCCAAAAATTCTTAAATGATAATAGGAGGGATTCCTACCACACCACACCTTCTTTGGAATATCAAAATTCAATGGTACTGATAGTGATCTGTTTATTAGATAACAGGTGGCACGAACAGCTTCACCCCAAAATGGCTTCGACAGCTTTGCCATACTGAGCATGCATCAGGCTCTTTCCACAATGGTTTGATTCATCCTCTCCGCTACTCCATTATGTTGTGGAGTACGTGGAACAGTCTTCTCATGTCTGATACCATAATTTGCATAGTATGCTTCAAACTATCTGGAAGTATATTCACCTACATTGTCTGTTCGAAGATACTTTAGCTTTATTCCTGTTTCTCGCTCTATCATGACATGGAATCTTTGAAGCATTTGAGTACTTGATCCTTCGTCTTTAGGAAATACACTCATACCTTCTGTGAAGCATCATCAATAAAGGTCAAAAAATATCTGTTACCGCCCAATGATTCCACCTCTAAGGGATGCGCAAACATCAGAGTGTATCAGGCTTAACAACTCTAATCTCCTCTTCATAGAGGAACTAAATGAGACCCGATGTTGTTTACCAAACAAGCAATGAGTACAAGAATTTAGTGCAACATCCTTGGCAGTAGTAATCAGATCTTTCTTTGCCAATGTAAATAATTATTTCCCCCATGTGACCGAGTCTCTGGTGCCACAGATTTGGTGAAGTCTCATTTTCAACTACATTGAGGCTATCTGAGCCAACCTTCACATGGGTCTTGTAAAACGTGCCACAAATATGTCCTCTAGAGACAACCATGGCACCTTTCGTGAGCTTCTATGTACCTTTGCTGAAATGGTTATCGTAGCCATGTCTATCGAGGGCTATCCTGGAAAGTAGATTTAGCTGAATGTGTCGGGCACATGTCGGACATCCTTTAATACCAATGTATAGCCAAAATTTGTTTTTATCTGAATATCACCAATTCCCACGATCTTGAAAGAATTGGTGTTTTCCATCCTCATCGTACCAAAGTCTCCGGTTTTGAATGTCGAGAAGAATTCGCTATGAGAAGTAGCGTGGTATGAAGCTGCAGTATCTACCACCCACTTAGCATCATGGTTGGAAAAATGAAGGCATGTCTTTTCATTGACAGAAAGAATGGCCACGTCCTCTAAGAGAGTGACTATCATCTCTCCGTCCTATTCTTTGGCTGATTACTGCCTTTGTCTTGCTTTTGTAGCAACTTGCGGTGATTTTTCTTCATGTGGCCTTGCATGCCACAATAGTAACACTTGTATGTAGGTCTTCCTCCGTCATTTGTGCTTTCTGGATCTTGTGACTTTCCTCTACTCTTACTCCTTCCTCATCCCCTACCTCTGTTACCTCCTTGCTATATGCCTCTGCTCTCAATGACGAGGATATTTGATTGGTTAATGTCAACATCCTTTCTCTTGACCTCCTCATTGAACAAGGCATCCTTAACCGTTGACATGGTAAGTTTTCCTTCTAGAGCCGAATTGATGAGAGAGACTACCAGTGTCTCCCAGCTGTCTAGTAGAGAACTGAGGAGCAAGAGAGCTTGTACTTCATCCCCTAGATTCAACTCGATCGATAATAATTGATTTACCAAACTCTGGAGCGCACTAGTGTGCTCAGCAATTGAAGTTCCAATTTTTAACTTCAAATTCACAAACCATCTCATCAAAAGGGCTTTATTCCAAGCAGTCTTGGCCTGGTGCATGTCTTTCAGCTTCTTCCACAGGACATGTGCATCAGTCAATTGTGCAACATGGTGGAATACATTGTGGTCAATCTATTGCCTGATTTGACCGATAATTTTTCTGTTCAATTTCTTCCACTCCATTTCTTTTGTCGGATCTGGATTTACACCTTCTGCCTCCAAGGGATCATACAAGTCTTTACAACTTAGAAGATCTTCCATTCGAGCTCTCCAAAGTGTATAATTAGAGGCAGTGAGTTTGATCATGGCTCCTGACGTTAATTCCTCCATGGACATATTGAATTTTTAGGCTCTAAATGTCTCGATCAAAATTTTTGAGGCTAAATTTTACAAAATGGAGTGCACTGTTGCATCCGAAATGGTTGAAATAGCAGAGAAAGAGTCCTGGTTCACCAAAAACGGAGCTAAAATGAGCTCAATAATTGACTAAAAATTTTTTGGCAACTTAACAGAATATTCCGTTAAACTTGACAGAATATTCTGACAGTGACAAAATATTCCCTAGATGGAATATTCTCTGGATGGAATATGCTCTGAGAATATTTTCTAGATGAAATATTCTTTGACAAAATGGAATATTCTGTCGTCTTCAACCTTGCTCTGGTCACCGGTCCTGCGAACTTTTTCGCCGAACTTCCAGCAGTAACTCCGATGAGCTCCAACAGCAACTCCGGCGGTCGATGAACTTTCCAGTGAACTTCCGACGAGGACCATGAGAGAGCATACAATGTTGAATTGATGCGAAGCCAATGGGGTCCAACTCATTTGGACGAGAGAAATCCAATGGTGCGC